GCATCGGATACTTTTATCTGATATCTGGACTAGATACCTAGCGGTATACATACTGGCGCTTGGGCTTATTAGTTAATATATAATAGTTCTAATGACTGTATAGTTATGTCAGGTACTAAGAAAATATTTACACAATTTTTTAAACAAAATATGCTTCATATTTGACAAAAGAATGGAATATATTAAATAAAAATATAACAAATTCATGCAGAGGAAATATTTTCCTAATACAAAGTTCTTAAGAATTTTGTAACAATTAAAAAAATTCTTTATAGTTAAGTTTAACATACACACACACATATATATTTATATATATATATATATATATATATATATATATATATATATATTTCTGTTTGTATTACAGACCATGTAGATCTTTTGCCACCTTAACAAGTATGCTCAATGTCTACCTCTCTTGGGCTATTTCTTTCCATTATCTGATATTTGTATCCGATATTTTTATCTGATACTCGCATCGGATACTTTTATCTAATATTTTTATCTGATACCTGGACTATATACCCAGCGGTATGCATACTGGCACTTGGGCTGGATATCTCAATAATTGTATCAGATATTTTAATCCAACTGTAATTGATTATTGATCGGGTTTGATATTTTAATACCTATTTGATACCTAATAAAACATATATTAAATATGTACCTATATATATTTTATTCCTTTATTATTAAATTTGTACCTGTAATAAATATTTTACACCATTTTTAAATATAATAGTTCTAATGACTTTATAGTTATGTCAGGTACTATGAAGATATTCACTATACGATAGCTAAGTTTAACATACTCACACACACATATATTTCTTTTATTTTCACCGATCAATCTACATCTTGGGATTTAGATTATATAGGACTTGTATAATGCTTACAATACTATTATTGTATTCTTTGAACATATTAAATTACATATGTAAGTCATTTAAAGTAAATATTTATCCACTCTTTTAATATTATTTTTTTCATTAATACAATGTTATGACAACAAAAGTAATTTGTCGTTCATTTCAAATTTCAGTTAAAATTCCATAGTTTATTGTTTTTAGTAACTATCTTGCTGTATTGGGACCTTATTGCTCATATTATGTCTTTAATATATCAGTATAGTTATGTAAATCCTTCTGTTATTACTTATTTTTAAGTTTTTTTGTGTTTTTTTTTATTGTAATATGCATTTTGGCAAGTTGTTATGTTAATTTTTATGTACAATATTTTTATTCTCAAGGGACTTTGTCCCAGAATAAAGTTGATTCTTCTATTCTATTCAATATATATATTTATTTTTTCTGTTTGCATTACAGACCATGTAGATCTTTTGCCTCCTTAACAAGTATGCTCAATCTCTACCTGTCTTGGGCTATTTTTATTATATATAGTATGCAAAAGACCACGTTGGAGGCCAAAAAGCAAATGGATAGATAGAATCAACAAAGATACAATAGAGCTGCGTGCAGATAAATGACAAAAAATAGCCCAAGACAGGCAGAGATTGAGCATACTTGTTAAGGTGGCAAAAGATCTACATGGTCTGTAATGCAAACAGAAAAAATAAATATATATATAGAATAGAATAGAATAGAATAATCACCTTTATTCTGGGACAAAGTCCCTTGAGAATAACAATGTTGTACATAAAGATTAACATAACAACTTGCCAAAATGCATATTACAATAAAAAAACAAAACAAAAAAAAAAACTAAAAAATAAGTAATAACAGAAGGATTTACATAACTATACTGATATATTAAAGACATAATATGAGCAATAAGGTCCCAATACAGCAAGATAGTTACTAAAAACAATAAACTACGGAATTTTAACTGAAATTTGAAATGAACGACAAATTACTTTTGTTGTCATACCATTGTATTAATGAAAAAAAAATAATAAAAGAGTGGATTAATATTTACTTTAAATGATTTACATAAGTAATTTAATATGTTCAAAGAATACAATAATAGTATTGTAAACATTATACAAGTCCTATATAATCTAAATCCCAAGATGTAGATTGATCAGTGAAAATAAAAAATATATATGTGTGTGTGAGTATGTTAAACGTAGCTATTAAGAATTTTTACAAAATTGTTAAGAACGTTGTATTAGGAAAAATTTTTCTCTGCATGAATTTGTTATATTTTATTTAATATATTCCATTCTTTTGTCTAATATGAATCACATTTTGTTTAAGAAACTGTGTGAATATCTTCATAGTATCTGACATAACTATAAAGTCATTAGAACTATTATATATTAACTAATAAGCCCAAGACTAGACTAGATACCAAGCGCCAGTATGCATACCGCTGGGTATCTAGTCCAGGTATCAGATAAAAATATCAGATAAAAGTATCCGATGCGGGTATCAGATAAAAATATCTGATACAAATATCAGATAAAAATATCCGATATAAATATCAGATAAAAATATCTGATACAAATATCAGATAAAAGTATCTGATGCCAGTATCAGATAAAAATATCTGATACTAGTATCAGATACAAAGTAGTAGGAAGGTCATGACCAACTACTGACCCATTTGTATCAGATACAAAAGTATCAGATAAAATTATCAGATACAAAAAAGTACCCGTATCAGTTGTATCTAGATACAAAAATTTTAGTATCAACCCATCCCTATATCTGGAGATATATTATCAGGTCCATTTTTCTTTGTTTTGCTTTGTTTTATTGCCTTTAAACTTTTCCATGCCAAACTATTTTCGTGACCCATCATGCATCTATCGATTAGTTCACAGTTTCTTTTCCAAAACTTACTGATTACCCGTTACCTCATCTTTTTAATTTCTCTATTTGCATTTTTATATTCTTAAAGAGGTTGCTCGTTTTTGTATAAGAGCCATTTTGCATAGAATTCTTTCTTCTTTTTCACATCATTTTCAAATTCCATATTCCACCAATATTTATAATTCCTTCTTTCTTCTCATTCTCTGCCAAGAGCTTCTGAAGCTGCTTGATGGATACACCTTTTAAAACTACCATATTTATTGACTATTGACATATATAAATATAATATAGTATACATATATAGTCCACGAACTTTGTCCATGCATTGTCCCAGAGAGGAATGTTAGTAGTGTGCCATTTTAGGATCCTTTAAGTAATAGTATCTTATGAGCTATTTTACCGGTAGTTAAAAAGACTTGTTTAGTATAATTTACTAATTATAATTGTTTATCCTTATACTTCACAGCTAGAACACAATGCAACTCCTAGAATTGTAAAGGAGAGAAATACTCGAGAAGACGGGCCTCAGTCCACTTGTTTTTGATGACCTTCGGCAACTACGGCTCTTCAATGGCAAGCAACGGCATTAGTAGGAATTGAATGATATACGTTTACCCAATGGTTAGGTTTCTACTACTAGAAATAGAAAGCTTAGATAGAGGATGGTGGTAGATGACATTTAGAGACTATATACACCGCGGTGCACTTAGTGTTTGGGTTAAAGGCAAACTAAAGTCGTGCTTCAATGTTCCAAATGGGAACATGGTCATGAGATCTGGCTTCACATTGAGGGTTGTATTCCCTAGCAATGGAGAAAGGAGTTTCAGGTCTCTAATAATGATGAATAACTCGAATCTCGAAGTGATGGGTCTGAAGAATTATATTACAAAGAATGGATCGGAGGCATAAACGTTGCTTCCACGCAGTTATCGGCTTACCTATCTGAGCTACCATGTTAAGACAAGACCTATCGGTGATTTCCGCAGTGTCTCCGGCCTTAATATGTTCTGAAATACTTTCTTTTTTCAATTATAATTGTAAAACTGAGGAATCTGTTTACTACCATAGATTAAAATTGGATTACGTAATGCGAAAATCAGAAATAATTAGTAGGAAAGAATTCGAGCATCGGTTGATCATTGTCAATAGGCACCTCTTGGATTTGGTTCTAGCATCCAGTGCCAGGCTTAGACATTCGGCGCCCCAGAGTAATGTCATCAAACCCTAAAAAAAATTAATTATGTTTTCAAGCTGTTTTATATTATGTAATATTTGAATTTTATTGTATTCAACATTTCTCTAATACAGTTGTTTTATTGGTAGGTTAAAATTTATTATTTTAATACGTTTTTTTTAACTTTCTTTAATTTCTTACAAGTGGCCACAAGTTACAAGAGCACCCTGAAGATCGACTGGTGCCTCTCCAGGTCAGCGCCCCAGGGCAATCGTTCTAGTTGCTCCACCCTAAGGCCCACCGGCTGGCACTAGCATCCAAAGTTTAGAATGGGAGATTTTACTTTTTTTATTTATTATCCGATTCCTTTTTTGTAAATTGAGACATTTATTACCAGTAAAAACAAGTTTCCAGAAAGAGTTCCTGCCATTACGCGGAAGATTCTAGTCAGGAATTTTTAAAAGATAAATCTATTGTTTTTTGGGTCATTTAGGTGAAGTGTAATTTATGAATGAGCTTTATTCGGTTATAATGAAAGAGAGTGTAATTCTGTTCGTAATATTTTTTATTTTACAGATTGAATACAAAATCTTGAATTACTGCTTGTTTAATTGGTGCTCTTATTTGATTTGTGATCACATCAGTATAAGAATAACGAAATAACGGCGATTCATTAGAAAATATATTGTATTAATACGAACGAATAACAGTATTACTAAAGATAAACAAAAATGTTAAACGTAGGTGCTACTAGACATCTAGAGTAAGGATTTCTGGGATATTTAAAGAATAAAACATTGAAAGAAATATCAACCATAAAATAATACCCTGTTGTTTAAAGTTTGGAAAATAGTCCAAGTATTGCTGAGGGTAAAATACTTCGGAAATGTATTTTTTATTAGTCAATCAGTGAAAAACTGTCATTTAGTTGAGTCTGGACCTTAAAGAAAATATATAAGTATGATTTAGACCGCGATATTCTTTTTTATTGATTTATTTATTTTATTTGCTTGTAAATTAAAAATTTTAATTAAGAAGCTAAAGTTAATTACCTTATATTAGTTTATTGAATGGACGAAATTCACAACATATTTTCATCTTCATTCCTTTCTCTTTGTCAGTGACAGCTGACAATGTTATGAAGTTGAAAGTATGTTTTCTGTAGTGAACCAATGTAGTTAACGTTCAAGAGTGTTAGTTTTAAAATAGCAGTTAGGATTTTCTTTTTTCTTTCTTTTTTTTGTATGGAAATGAGGTAAGTGTAGTGTTTAATTATGTACATTTTCATGACTAACCCATAACTTATAGCTTTTTATGATTTCCTTGTTTTCTTTTCTGGTCTTGTTCAATTGAAATTCACATTAATTTTTATTTTGTCCTTAGATTTCATCGAAGAAGACACTTCCAAATCAACTTTATTGGTTCTTGACAAATCCAGTGTATATCTTTAAAACTGATTTTCATGTCAAGCCTCAAAACACTTTCACTTCATTGTAACCAAAAAGTAAGGCCCAGTTTGAGATGGTTTAAATGGCCTTTCAAGTTCAAGAAACAACTAGTGAAGAAGAGCGGATAAAGATTGATTGGGAAACAACTGAAAAAGATATTTTGTCTCAACCGTCTGCTGTTGAAATTGAAGTAAATGAAAATCTCAACAGCAACTTAAATAACAGTCATAAAGTTGTTGACTACAGTAAACCGATTGTTGATAACATCTCAAATCACACTGAGAGGTTCTTTCTTGTTGGTGAAGAATCAACATGTGTTGGAAAGAAAGGCGACGAAAATGGGGTATGTAATGGAGTTTATTTTCAGAATGTTAATACCAATGAAGTAGATGATCCAGGTGAGACAAATGATTGTGTTCAGTTAAATCCAATGAAGGACACATTCACTAATATGAAACTTCCATCTGTGCCAGTAAAAGAAAATAAGGATTGTACCATTGATTCTGATTTGAATGTAGATTTTCAAAGCATTCCAAACCAGACAATGGATATTCAAACTCTTGAAGTGTTCCAAATTGGTGATGTAGCACAGATAAATCATGTTCATTTTAATGAAACTAATAAGACATTGGATAGTACAAAGTCTATTTCACTGCTAATAAATGATAATCAAGACCACAGCACTATTGATTCTGATTTGAAAATTGATTCAAAAATCATCCTAACTCAACCAATGGATTTTCAAACTCTAGAACCCCAGAAAGTAGGTGATCAAGATGACAAAAATGGTTCTGTTCAATTAAATGAAATCGAAACTATATCTACCAATACGGATACAACTGTGACAGTGAAAGAAAATAAGGATTATACTGCGCATTCTGATTTGAACATGGATTCTAAAATTATTGTAAACCGTGCAATTGATACTGTTTCTTGTGTATATCCCAATATTGATTATCCAGATTTACATAAAAGTGTTGATGTGAACAATGGAAACTTAGTTAATGAAAACGGTGATAAACAATCACCTTCTGAAACTATAAGGAATTCAATTGAAACTTTAACCAGTTATATAAATATTTCTGAAGATCTCGGCGATAGGGATAGCAATATGTCCAGTGAGAATGAAAGCCAAAATTCAATAGATAGTGACGAAACGACTGATACAGCAAGCATCAGTAATAATCATAATGTTGAGGAAGAAATCAGTGAACATAATTGTCTTTTTCACCCAGCATATGTTCAAACATTGACTGAAATTAACTTTAAAGATGAGAAAATTTCAGAATTGGAGGAAACGGTTAAAAGGTTAGAATTATGATCATATTTAAATTGTTGAATGTTTATAAAAAAAAATTAAGCATCCTTTTTATGAACTTGCTAGTTTAGTGGATGTTTCATTTACATTTTATTGATGAATGAATCCTTGGATGATGATTTTTTTTTTTTTTATATACTTTACTACTATCTTTTAATTATTATTGATTCTTTTATTATTATTATCTTTCCATTATTACTTACTACTATCTTATTATAATTGAGGTGAATTATGATTTGTCCTAATAGAAACATATTGTTATTATTTAGGCTGAGAGAAGTACTTAATGAGGAAACTTCGAAATCTGAACGTATTTCTGAGCTTGAACAACTTCTATCCCGACATGAAAAAGAGTTATCGTTAATTAAAAGAGAACAGGAAATTGATAAACAAGGTTTCACTTTGGCAAAAAAAGAGTATGAAAATAAATGTGCTATTGTAAGTGGAATTTCTATTTCTTTAATTGAATAACAATTTTCAAAACTTAAATGTATATATTACATGTATTAATAAATTTGCAGACCCTATCTTACAGTCTAGAAATACAGTAGATATCATTTATAATGAATGCATTGTGGCCAGACAAATTCGGTCATTTAAGCAGAACATTGTTATACATAGTGGGTGAGACCAGAGAGAGATATTGTGAAATTTTTGGGCCTGAAACCAATTCAAAAATAATATATCAAAATAATCCTGGGTAGAATGATGGCATTTCTTAATTTTTAATAAATACCTTTTTTTGTGGATCTTGAGTTAAGACCCAATTTTTCAAATTAAATATATGATATATTGACTCAATTCTTAAGCTATAATGATTTTCAACTAACTATTTTCAAGATGGCAGCAATTATGAAACTAATGTTCAACAGTGAGTTTTTCTCTTTGACTTAATTACAGAAATATCTTTTATTTTTCTTTGACTGTGACTACTATATCTGATTAAAAATGTATTGTTAAGGCTCTGAGAACTACAAGTCTGAAAATATATAGTATAATAAATAAAATATAGCCTGAAAAGTGTCACTGCAACCTATACTTATATCTGATGTAATAAATTATATCCTGTTTATTTTACAATGGCACGAAGTTTGTTTAGCTTTTTTTTTTGCAAAATTTCAATTAACTTTTGTAACTATAAATTATGTATTATATTATGTATTATTTTCTTATTATTATGTATTATTTTCTTATTATTATGTATTATTTAAAATTATTTATGGAGGTGGACAATGGCCCCCTCTACCATCCTCTGTTAACAACCATGTACACATGGTAAAAAATATCAGGTACGGTTGAGGAAGAGGAATAACTTATCACTGATACTAATAATGGCTCTCTCAACCTTTAGTGTTAACATATTATATTTTTATGGTCGGGTTTAAAATTATTTTTATTTGTGTCTTTCACTGACTGCAACCCTCAACGAACTTTCCAACCATATTATCTACAGTCAACTATTTCCATGATAAAATAACAAAAAATATAAAGTTTTTAACTTACATGTTACTATCTGTTTAAATTCATATGTTTTTATATTTAGTGATGCCTCATCTATCCAATTATAAGAATATGTATAATTCTATGTTTAATAAACGAGTTTTTTGCAGTTGAAAAAGGATATTGAAATGGCTAATAGAGATAAGGAAAACATGGTTATGAGATACGCTGTTAGTGAGAAGGAATTAATCGATATCAAGAAAGAAAAAGAAACTCTCTTAAAAAAGTTAAAAGACACTGGAAAGGAAAACGAATCATTATTAGATCGAATGAAAAATCTTGTGAGCGATAAATCAAAACTTTCTCAATTATTGGATACTAAGGTGACTATTCATCATTGTTGTGATGTTCAAATCATATCCTATACAGTTAGAAATTCTGAATAATCTTTTATTAAATCTTTATTCCTCAGACAACCGATCTATCTACAGCTCATAAAGAAATTGACAGATTAAAAGAAGAAATCAATGCGAGGGATATAAAAATTAAATGGACTCAAAACAAATTAAAAACGGAAATAGAAGCTCATAAGGTAAATTTTCATTATCAAGTTGAAAATAATCAAATGTTATTGATAATTTATTTTTTTATAAGTTTTATTAACTAATTACAATAGATAAAATTTAGTTCCATTTATTATAACAAATTATTGAGGATTACTTTTTGCAGAAACCTCACCAGTCAATGCTTTTATTTTTTATTGTTAAGGAATTGATTTGGCTAAAATAGATTCTTCATGTATAGTTTGTTAAGAGTATTAAGCTTTTTCTTGTTTTGATCAAATATTGAAGATAAGTTGATATAAAAATCTTATTAATTTTAGAGCCACACTAAACTGAAAAATATATTTATTTAAAAGGAAAATATATTAAAACATTTTCTTTTAATAACGTTATTATATTATATACTTACTAGGTCAATATTCAAATTAAGATTTGAATCTACAAGTTGTACAAAAACAACTTGTAGATAATTGTTTCTGTGCACATTGAATATAATCTATTATAATTAAAAAACAATAATCCACATATAATGGATTTTCAAGTTCATGCTAACCTATAGTTTCGTATAATTCATGTTTTTAATTTTCAGTTAAAAAAGTTTTTCTAGATTTTCACTGAAATTTTACTAGTAACATTGTTGTTGGCAAAATTGGATAAGAAATAATGAAATGTTACTTACTTCACTAATTTAACAAAACAAATTAATTAAATTGTTTTAGTAATAATCTTTGATCTGGATAACTTTCGATAAGATTGCAAAACTTATTTTATTAAAGTACCAGTATTGATAAAAAAAATTTATATTATAATCATAACTTTATTAAAAGATGTTTTTGTTAAAAAAATAGTTTACTTTTCTCTTGTTCTCTATGTTTTATTTTCTGCTGTAAAGTAACCATCATTATGTGAAAATAATTTAAATCTTTAACACTTTCTTTCTGTTATCCTTTTTTTACTATAAAACTTTTTTCAGGAAAATGAAGAAATATTTGTTTTCTTTATACATAAGTATATTTTTACTTTCAGTTACCTATATATATAAAATATAGTAAGGGGGAAAGTATTGCGATCATGAAAATTTTTGAAAAAAATGTGTATTCTGAGTTTGCAATGGAAATACACTTGAGGTCCCCTGAGGCTAAATAACCAAGTCCTGCAAAACGATCTGTGTGTATGTATGTTGTAAGTGGTAAGCTCAAAAATGAAAACTCGTATGGAACTGATATTACATATTTAATATACGTGTATGCCTTGAATGTGACAGCAACTTTTTCGTTAAAATCGACTAACCGGAAGTGGCACTTCATATCAACGGTGAAACACATTTTTACAATTTTCTCAAAAACGGCTCCAACGATTTTGATTAAATTCGGTGTATCATTGTATAATTAAGTGATCTTCCATATCATTGAGGTCTTATCTCCATTGATGTCACTTTACTGGGCTTAAATGTTCAACACTGACTTCCTATAAAGTACCTTCAATTTGGTTTATTTTAAATAATTAACCATCTCTCTATATTAAGAGTTACGAAAAAATGCTAAATACAGCTTTTGAAAGAATTTGGTAATTGAAAAATAGAGACAAAAGGGAAAATGTTTATTTAGATCTTAGATCGATTTATTAGATCTAAGTAAACTTTCAGCTATAGTAGCTCCATTAAAAGCGTACTTCAGAAATTTTATAATTGTTCAACATTGCCAGAAAATAATTTCTATTCATAGTAGAAAGGTAAGTAAAAGTTGTGTTTTGCGCCCACCAGATTTTTTGTAAAGTTATACTACAACAATGCTTTCATTATTCATGTTACAAGCCGTCTTTTAAAATAATCCATTCTAAAATATTTATTCTTTTAGTGAATATGTTATTTAAATACATTGTGAATTTTATAATTTTGAATTACAGTATATTATATACATTGTTTCATTTCAGGAGTATCCTTCGCAAATCGACAGATTAATGATTAGAGTTCGATGTCTTGAAGAAGATTTGAGTAATGCGAAAACAGAATCTCAGAATTTAAAAAAACAGTTGGAAGATTCTGAACAAAACAAAATTTTAGGTAGGTATTGAATATTTACTAGTGTTAATTGTCTTAATTAAATTTAATAAAGTTAAACTTCAACCTTCAACATAGGCAATCAGTATTATTAATTAATGAGATGGTTATTTGATGTTTATAGTTATTTGATATGGATGGATGATGATTATTTGGTAAGGATGGGTGATGATTATTTGATATGGATGGGTGATGATCATTTGATATGGATGGATGATGATTATTTGATATGGATGGTTATTTTATGTAGATCTAATGAGATGATTATTTTAGAAAAAAAATAATACTTATTCCTCAATTACTTTTCTTATATTTTCTACCATTTAATTGCAAATAAAATAAAAATAATGTACATATACCTCAAGCATTATGCTAAGATGCCTCAATATCGTGAGTACTTAAATAGAGTCCTTCTAATCCAGACTAGATGGGACTGGGCACTGACTAGATCACCAAAAGTTTGGACTAACATTTTTTTTTAAAATGTCAGTTATAATTTTTTTCTTATAAATAAACCGTTTCCTGCAGCTTAATTTTATTTTTAAATACTAAATAATTTTTTAACTAAACAAAAACAAGCAGACTGTCTCTTTGAATGATATCCTTCCTCACTGCTCTCTGTATTAAATTTCAATTAGTTTTTTGTTTATAATTCTTAACTATCTGTCTAATCAGGTTCAATGAAATTTATTGGCACCATTTATGAAACAAGTATCATATTTGCTCTATGAGATCTTTCAAAATTTTAAATCCCTCGTTATCAAAAATTTTCACTTTGCTCCTTCTTCCTTTATATTCCATGTAATATCTATATATATAATATTACTTAGGAAATTTTAATGTTTTGTTTTTATTTTTTAAGAAAGCCAATTAAAAGAAGAACAAGCAAAGTTAATTATGCAGAAATATGAACATTCAGAAATTGAAACAAAGTATAAAGCTCTTCAAACGAAGTATCAATCTATGATTGAAGAGAACAACAGTCTATCATTTCAGGTATAATTCCTAATTAGTCCTATTAACTGGTTAAATTTTAATTAACTAAACATTTTACTTTAGAATGATTATTTATTTTTATTTTTTTCGAAAAAAAAAAAGGTTCAAAATTTAGAAACAGAGAGACTAGAGCTTGAAAAAAAACTTAGCTCATCGAGGGAGGATACCGAGAAATTATCAAATACTGTTTCTGAACTTCAGTCAAATCTTGTGGAACTGGATTCTTTAAATTCTCAACTTAAGCAGTAAGTTGTTTTTTTTTTTTTTTTGTTTTTTTATTCATTGATATTTACAACTGTATTATAAAAAAAAATACAACTAGTAAATTGCACACAGTAATAATAAATCACATGAAAATGCTTGTTGAGAAACTACCCATTGGTAGCACTCTAATAATATATTTACATAAATAGATCACGAGGCCATCTTCTTTTCAGATGCCTCGGAGGGAAGCAGTAAGTTTAATTATAAAGTTGTACTACTGGATGAAATTATCATTTTAATTTTTCCTAATAATGTGTGCTGATGAAGGATTTGTTATTTGTTAATGATGTGATCCGTTTTTTGCATCCCAATTTTTTTAGTAGCATATTACAAAACGTCAAAATGTCAAAACTGAAGAATTAAAATAACTTCCTAGATGTTTGAGAAGTGCGATTAGTGATGAAAAAAAAAAACACTCAAAGAAGAGAACTTAATTTAACATTTGTCAACGTTTCATCTTAAGTTTTAAAAATTTATCAGGGCTATTTAAAAAGTAAAAATTAGTAACAAGAAATAAAATTTAAAAATACATTATAACTATAAAGTAAAAATAAAAATCGCTCTGAAAATATAGATGATAGGTGTGGCCTCCTTAAGTTTTAGTACATTCATAAATGATATCTCTACTATTAATTAATATTTTATTATGTTGATTATGAATTCATTAAAATCTTAAGTTTTTATGTATATGCTTAAACAAATAAAAAAAAAACAGTAGAATATAAATAAATTTTTTATCACTGCATAACCTAAATTTGGCCTCCTTTATCACTTCCTAACCTAAATGTGGTCTCTAATGATAAAAAGATTCTCTGCCCATGATATGCAACATAAAAATGATAATAATCAACCAAATTATGAGAGATGGCAGTATCTCAAGGCTTAGTAAGATAAATCTTATCATGTAACTGTTGTATATGATGTCACGGCATGATGACATATATATGCTTATGATATGTAAGGATATAAAAATTTCTCCTAAAAATTAAACCAACTTTGAAAAGTTGTATTCACCGATATAAAGCTAATGAAATGAAGCATTTTTTCAAATTCCTCTTGAAAATAGCTCAGAAATTCATTGTGTGAAATTTTTTTAAAATTATTCATTTTTAATTATTTAATTTGCTTTGGATGCTGTTATGGCCTGACAAGAAATATATTCCTACAAATTGGTTGCTATCTTATAAGAAAATATTCCTGAAATGGTGACAGAAGTTGTTAAAGAATTGTTCTATAGAAAAAAATTTATGCAAATTTATTATTCCTAGAATGGGTGCCTTGAGGTTTAATTTTTCATAAATTAGGCCATTTCCACCAATATTTTATTAATTATTTATTTTATTTCGACGTTTCGACCAACACTAGGGCCATTAAGAGTTTGAAGAGTTTCATTAATAACCATACAGATGTGAACAATATAAATACCTTTTACGCAAATGTAATAAACAATATTCGCATATAATATAATAATTAATTTAAAATCATATACAAACCATAATTTACATAAAATAATACACCATTGCAAAACAATAGAAGAAAAACCCTCTCCCTTTGACCATTCCCACCATGACGATATTAGTCAGTCCCTCCAGAAATGACGTAGGGAAACTACAATATCAGGACAATTTCAATTTTCTCAGAAAAATTAATATGACAGTGAATAATGGAAATTTAATGGAGGGCTCAATTAGGAAACAATCAAGTTTATATAATGAGTAAAGTTACTTATGTGATAGGTTTTTAAAAAAGTATCCAAATTTATATATAGTGCAATTTTATGACATAGATTAAATAATCATGTAAAATAGAATTGATTTTGTAAATGAAATGTAATTTAACAATGACATAAAATTTCCAGACTTGAAAATGGCCCTAGTGTTGATCGAACCGTCGAAATAAAATAAATAATTAATAAAATGTTGGTGGGAAACGACTTAATTTATAAAAAATAAAAAAATCTTTTTTATTAATACCCTTTAAAATATTTTATCTTGTCAATGGATCGAGATATGAATATGTGAATGAAGTGTGTTCTACAGCAATGAATATTTGATAAACTATTGCCCCTCTATCACTGGTATTTTCTCTTGGGACACTCTGCATTTTAATTTCTCTTAATATGTCTTACATAGTCTAATCTTTCATTAATATCTCATTATTTAATTCAAATTTTTCATTATGTACATATACTTATCAATTATTATACTTATAGGACTAAAATTTAATAACTAATTTAATTTAATTTAAAAACAACAATGCTTAAAGCAGGGTATACATTCATCATCAATATTTTGGGAATTGTGAAAAATAAAAACATTTACTTGAGTTTGATACATATATCAAATATGAGTTTGATACATATATCATCAGGTTTTAAATTTCATTGCAAATTTTTTATCATATTTATTGATAAAAAACTGATTGAGAGCATAAAAATAATACAAAAGCTTATTTATGTCAAAAATAGTTATTCTAACTGCACAATATTTTGATTTCACAGTGGTAATATTCATCAATTTACTTAGTGATTTAATTTTCTAAAATGTTACTTGATGGCTGTTTGCAATAAATGCATTTCATCATTTAGTTGTTATTTATATACTATTTGTTTAGTTTAAGGTTTTGCTATTGGTAGTCCAACTGTAAAATATTTATTAGTATTAATTGGAAGGAAAACATTCCAATTCTCCTATACCCTTTCAATTTTCCTCAGACGATTATTATTTTTAAATTTCTAGATCAGAAGACAAAATAGATACTTTAATGAGTGAGATTGAACGTGTTAGACACCAAAATGAGGAACTGTTACAGGATATGTCGGCATGCCGTGCTAGAGAATCTGAAATGTTGTCATTTACTCAGAAATTAACAACAAAAAATGTCCAATTACAGTCAGAATTTTCTACTCTTGAGACCAAAGTAAGTTGAGTTTGTCAATATCAGTGCTTTTAAACTTTATATCTATTTATTGTATTGATTTTTATGTATCAATAATTACTTTTCCTGCAATGACTTCTTCTGAAGATAAGGTACCTATAATTACTTTTGTTTGACTTCACTTATTCTTAAAAAAAATCTGCAAAATAAGAAAAAATATATATCACAGCAAAAGTTTAAGGAAAATATACAGACCTGCCAAGGAGAATGCGTTTGTTTGTACGAAATTTTACGTTCTCCAGCTTCCTCTTAGGGAGAGCCAAATTAGATTTTTTTTTTTTAAATATAGGTGTGTGTATGAAAATATGTTTGCTTATACAGATCTGAAATTAGCGGATGCAATTTGATAATATGGTTATGGGACTATCTTGAACCAACCAGCCTATTCTCTGAAATTTTAATCAATGGTAGTTGGTGGTATATCCATCACATGAATTTGATTACAGACAGACACACAACCATATTTTGGTGCTGCAAAAGTCTGTAAGTAAAATTTTATTAGAAAGAGCAATTTTGAGCTTTTCTCGTTAATGTTGGCCTTTTTTGAATTTAAAAATTCAAACTGAAAGTGTTATTCAAAACATTAAATCATTGTTTAATCATTAAATAAAAATGTGTTGAGGAAACCTAGTTCAAAATCAATAAAAAAACATTTATGGGGGGGAGAGGAGGGGGATTCTCCTCTTCCTCGCCTTTAAGGCTATATAGGGGTTTTCCCGGGCCGGGGGTGTGGGCGGGGATTTAAAAGACTCTCGGCACTGGGACGCGAACTCGTGACTATAGACTAGGTGCTGTGCACACACGTTAGCCCGTTCGGCCACCTCGCCCTTAGTTTTGGTACTTACTAGCAAGGCTGTTGGTTTGGTCCCTGATATCTAAGAAATGAATCTTTCAACTTTTCAAATCTGAGTACTAGCTACTAGCTTCCCTTCCATACCTTTGGTAGTGAGGAAGCAAGTAAACTGAGGATTATCTTAAAATGATGTACAAATATAAGTTAAAAGTTTAAATGAATCAATCCTAAACCATATATTTAAATTTTAAGCATCTGCAAGATTCTTGTAATAATTACGCTAGTATTGATGAAATAATTGTTCATACTAAATAAAATTTTAAATTTTTAATAAAAATTTAAATTTTCAAATAAATGTTTATTTATCATGCTTTCTAAAAATATTCTCACATTTCTATTTTAAATTCTCCTTTTTAATTTTTATAAAATCGATATAATAATTTGTGAACTTTAGGCTGCTACATTGGAAAAAAAAGATGAAAAAAGTCGAATTGAATTAAAAGAACTTAGAGAAAAACTAAATGAAGTTCAAACTGAACTTATGAAAGAAAAAGCAAAAAGGGAAGAAGAGACGCATCTTCTGGCCAGACAGGTTAGTGATACTTTCATTTTATTTTACTAGTTCATGTACAATAGTATCAATTTCATTTGTTTCTTCTATTTTGGAAGCAATAAATGTTTTTGCTAGGTCTGTGGTTTTATATTTGCTGATTCTTAACATAAATGGTGTATTATTATATTTTTCTTACAATTTTAAGTTTTCATAACATATAAGTTATGAATAACATATAACTATCACCTTTATGCAGACGATTCACAGATGTACCTATCATTTTTCCCTCCTGAGTTACTGGGGGCATTTGCCAAGATCCAAGAAGACCTAGATCGAATCAGTGCCTGGACAAATGTAAATGGATTAAGGTTAAATGCTGCCAAAACTCAGGCCATTGTCATTGGTTCCAAGCCCCTCCTTAGATCCTATACAGACTTTCCCATCCTTCACCTTAATGATCAGCCAATCTCCTTCTACTCCTCTGTTAAAAATTTAGGATTTTTCATTGATCAAAACCTCTTTTGGAATCACCATATTTCTCATATCACTCGACGGACAATTTCCACCCTCAAACTATTCCATCGCTTCCGCCATCTCCTACCTCAACATACGCGTAGACTCCTAGTTTCCTCTCTCATTTTCTCCCACTTTGACTATAGCTGTGTGGTGTATGATGGCCTCTCTGTGGAGCTCCGTGATAGACTGAAAAGACTAATGAACAGCTGCGTAAGATTTGTGATCGGGGCCCCAAGATACTCCCATGTTTCTCACCACTACGCTGAGTTAAAGTGGCTTTTCCCCTCCTTCCGAAGACAATATTTCCTAGGTACGTTCCTCTACCAAATCATCAACAACCATCGTCCTTCTTACGCCTACAACCTTCTCCAGTTCAAATCCTCAGTCCATTCCCTGTCCACAATATCTCGACCTTCTAACCTTTACATGCCTTCTCACAGATCTGCCTCATTCCAAAATTCCTTTATTGTTCGCTCTGTCAATTTCTGGAATTCCCTCCCTTTCTAAATTCGACATTCCCCATCCATATCCACATTCAAAACCCTCCTATTCCAATTCCTATCCCAAAAACAGTCAGATAGTTGCTAACCATTCGAGCTGATTTTAATAGAGAATTTGATACATTTTTATTTTTTAATTCTTTATTTTTTTCGTAAAAGTTTATACTGGTATATAAGAGCAAACAGCTTTAAGTGTCTTGTCATAGTATTAATGGTTTTGTATATAATTTAGTTTGTTTTGTATATAGAATTTTTACCTTATATTTTTTTTACATTATTTCTTTTTTTCGATTGATTTTATTTTGACCAGATGTAATATATTAATTTTGTTCTATTTTGTTATTCTCAAGGGACTGTGTCCCAGAATAAAGTTATTTTTCTATTTCTATTTCTATTTCTAAGTTAACTTGGACCAATGCTGTAGATTTGAATAAAAGAGGAAATGCGCTAAGAATGGAAGGTAGCTGTTATTTTACAAATTCATAAAAAAAAGAAGATTACGGAACCGTAACAGCCTTTTATTTCTTTCTACTTCTAAAGTAAAAGTAGAAGCTCACAATCATGAGCTTTACCTATCCAAATGCTGCCTCACTCTATGCTTCCATAATACTTCAACAGTTTCTCCTAAGTGATAGTCTTAGGCCTCCCTTTTTAGTTTTTAGCTGTTCAAGCCACTAATGATTTAATAAAGCTGACTAATTTAGTTCCCTATCTTATATTTTCCCCTAAATATTCTTATTGATTTTTCCTTTCTAATCTATTTAAAATGTTTTAATAACTGCGACTATTTATTATTTTGGCTAATAATAAATTTAAAATCATTATTGTGATGTTTATCTTCAATGTATTTATGAATATTCAACTAAAACTTTGTATATCTTTTTATTAAATATTTTACTTTGTACATTTGTAAGCAATGATTAAACTAAAATGTTTGCTTAGATTGCAGAAAAAACAAGAAAAAGTGAAACTTTTGAAGTGGATTTAGCTGATACAAAAGCAAATTTAACTCAATCAAAGGTTAAACATGCAACTGTAGTTAAGGTAGTATATTTTTTGTAGTATTAAAGTTTTCTAACTATAAAATAACTAAAGAAATTGAATGGTTAAAATTTGAGTTTTTACATTTCAAAATATGTGAAATTAAAGTATTTATATTTCTTGCATGATATGATCTGGTTGCATGGTTATGAGATAATCTTTGGATTTTTACCATTTGCACATTCACATGTTTCCCAAACCATGGTCTGCACGAGAAACAAACTAGCTAGGTAGCTGAAGAAAAAGCGAGTCACATCCCTACCTAGTTATATAGTGACATTATTCCCGGTTTAAGTCCCTGGCTGTGTGTATTTGGCTTGGCTCGACAATATGTATTTATATTTATCCTCTTTTTTAAAAAAAAAAGTCTTTTTAAAATAAAGATATTTTGAACCATATGAAATTAGAACATCCATCTTAATTGAGGAATTTGGGAGCTTATTTACCTGGAACACAAGCATGAAAATACCCCCCTCCATTTTTTTTTTTGTCTACCAGATCTACCAGATGTATGGGTGTGGGTTGGCTATGTTTGGGAAACATGTAAACACACTTTTATAATCTTATATTCATGATGAGTGCTGCAATCATAAATGAGCCTGGTATTAAAACAATTTAATCTATTTGGAGAATTAGTGTATTGAATTAAATACATTCTTCGACCAAATATTAAAATCATTCAGAGAGATTCCTCATCTTAATAATAATTAATTGATTAAACTAATGCTTCTTGATTAATTATAACAAAATGTTTAACCATAATGATTATTTCAACATTAAAAGTTATTAACAAATAAAAAACAAAGAACACAATGCAGTTAGTTTTTCAGTATGATTAAATCTTAATAAATTAAATGCTGTATAATATAATGCTTGGTGATTACACAAAAAGGTTTTGGGTTAGGAGCTGCAGAGGGAGCTGTCGCTATTAAGAAGAAAGTTAGACAGTCTCGAGGCTTCAGGTCATGTTTCATCGGCTAATTCTGTTTCCGAATCTCCCTATGCACAGGTAACATATTGCTTAAGATGTATAGTTTTGCTTTTATTTTTTTATTTGTAGGACTTGGTGCTTAATTAATACTTGGTTGCTCTAAATTTATTAACAATTTATGGGTATTTTAAGTTATTTATACATTGAAACCTCTTGTAATGGACACCTCCCTCCAATGGACAATTTTTAAATGACTAACTTGGAATTACAACCGTTTTAATCCCTTTGCTATAAATATCACAGTAATAAACCCTTAAATTAAAAATTGTTTTAAAATAAGAAAACCATATTTCATGATTAAAAAAGAACTATGGTGTGTGCTTTAGACCACACGATAGGAGTGAAAACATCAACAAGGCGGAATTAATAATATGAAATATAAATTATAAATAATAGTTCATTATAAAGAAAATAAAATGCAGAACATTTCCTACGCTTACAGTATGCAGGTCCAATTTTTAGTTTCTGAGATATTTTAATCCATATGCAAAAAAACTTCAATTAGTTGACTCAAGCTGACTTTACCTGAGCGTTACACATCAGAAATCTGAGGGCTTAATCTAATTCTCTCTCCACAAAAAAGTGCGAAACATGCCTAAAGAAGTTTTTACTTAAAAAATAAAAAATTATATTTAAGTATATTTGAAGTAGTTTTTCTTAATTTGTAAACCCAAAGCACCACACCAAAGAAATTATTCACGTTTATTCTTCTTTGTAGTATTTCTGGTTCAGTAAAGGATTTATTTTTTAGAGTGAAGTAGAAAAGCTTTTTTAAATAGGATTAAATTCAAAAGATGTCCTTTTGTATATTATTGTTTATTCCAGGTATAAAGTATGGAAACGTTTCTCTTCTGTGTATACCAATTTATTCATCTGTCTAACTTTTCGGATTCTTTGTCCATCCTCAGAGACACCTCCTTTTCACTTCTGCATGTTATTATGTACCACCTTAGTCAATTTTCATTATCACTCCGATTATTATTATTATATACTCTACACATAAAATAACACAAAACTCTTCCTTAAGAAAAATATAAACATTAAACTAAGAAGATATTGTTCATTGCCTTTTTTTGTTTTATTTCCCGGTTCAATCCTTCATCAGGCTAAATAAAGAATAAAAATGAACATAACATAATAAAATTAACAAAAATAAAAATTTACAAAACAATATATGAAACAAATAAAAACTTCACAATGAAATACTTCAAATAAAAAATAATTATCGCCTAATTTATTACGGCCCTTCTTGGCCCTTCTTTCCTGGTTGTCAGTTAACGATTAAAAATTAAACTATTGTCCAGATGGACTTTCCACACCCTTTACGTCTTGTTTTTGTTAGCCGCTACTAATTTAATGAGGGCAGAATCTTGAAATTTGAGTATTACGGACATTCAGCCATAACACGTTATTTTTTCTTGTTCTCCAGTTTTCAAGAAGAAACAAACAGGATTACATGATTTTCTAAAAAGTGTTTACAACTTGTTTTCCTCATCTCTTGCCAATTTTCAAAAAATACCCTTATCTCTGCTCCACTGGCAGAGACACAGGGAAAGGAAGACAACTTCAATATAAAAAATTAAATAACAAATTTCTGTTAGCTAAAATATTTAAAATTGTGTTGTTAAACTTCATTGGATCAAATTAATATGTTTATGTTCATATATATATATATATATGTGCTCATTTTTAATTAACAATTTTATTCCCCTTCTCAATGGATTTCCCTCTGTAATTGACAAACCATTGGACAAGTGCCTGTCCGTTCAGACGTTTTATTGCGAATGGAAAATAAGTAAGCATGCATGTTTCATATTTTAAAAACTTTATGGTGAAAAATCACAATTATTTATAAGCAAACACTGAAGTATATCACTTTATGGAACAATAGTTTTATACAAACTGATGTTTAAGATGAACAAAACATTGTCACTATTACTGAATGCTGTGCTGTCCAACATTGCACTGTCAGAGTCCAATATTGACATATGGCTATTACTGTAAATTTTCATTCATATTACTCCCTTCTAATGATTACTGTATAAAATTTATTATTTGGTTTTATGGTATTTTCTTTTATTAAAGTTACTTGCTGTGCTGATTTCTGTAATTTTTTTTCCAAGTTATATTCAATCTTTTTTTTTTCTTAAGTTAATTAAAACGAATTGTAATACACAAGAAGAATGCATTTTGATGGCCTCACATGATAAACCCCATAACTTACTTGTTATAATTTATTTATTTTTTTTGCAATTTGAAGTAAGATCTCTTTTCTGATAGCTCTTTGGTTTATAAATTGCTGAATATAATTTTAAAAATAAATTTTTAATATGTAGAATAGATGAGAGTTTTTTTGTGTATTGTGTATTGGCTTCAAACTTCATTGGGAAGCTACACCAGCAGATAAGTTTTCATTCAAATTGAGAAAATAAATTATGGCCAAAAAGTAATGATGGTTTCATATGAGGCTGTTAATATGTACAACTGATTTGATATAATTATTTTTATTCATCAATTTCAAAAGAACATCTTCAAAAAATTTGTAATATTTCTAGATTTTAAAATAAATTTTCTACAGGCATGTGATGTATCGAAAGAAATTCTGGTGGGACGTATTTTGAAATTGCAATCTGAATCTGCAAAATCGGCAGAAAAAATTGAATTTTTAGAAGATCATGCTTCTCAACTTTTAACTGAAGTTCAGAAGCAATCTCGCCTACTTCAATCTTACATGCTTCGGGAAGAAGCAGGAGCACTAGCACCTTCATTTTTGGACAACCATAAAGTAATTTTATATAATGTATTTTTACTTTCAAATATAATTTTTTATAGTTCATTATTATTTATTTTTTTTATACTGGAGTAAGTAAAAAATTAATAGAATAGTACAAAATGTAGGTTAAGATTTTCTTCTGAATTTTTTGGCAGTTCAACCTATATTTGGGTTTGACTCATATTTGGACCAGCATATTTTCGGATTTGATTTAGAAAAATATGAGTTCGACCAAACTTAAGGATTTCAAATCACTTCATAGTTTAATTTCATCTTTCCTGATGGGAGACTATAAGTGATAACTCATTCAGTTATCACACATATTGTGGGAAAGAAAATATAATAAAAAATTTTGTTCTAAACGACTAAATACGTTCAAGGAAAATTATATGTTTAAACCGAAATTTGAAATATAGACATAGGTCACATAAATACAAAACAGAGAATTGTATTAAACATAAATAGTACTGATATTTAATATTTGAGAATGCTAGCCTTTTTATGTAAATATATGTAGAAATAAAAATGTTGAAGGAATTGATCAAATAGATTAGATACATGGAAGTATCGTCATGAAAAAATTATGCAGATTGATTTTTCATTTTTATTTTCTTTAAAACCAATTAGTGTTTGTAATTATTAAAATAAAAAATATCTGAAGGAAATGAACATATTAATAAAATGTTTTCATCCAACTACTGACCAGCTATTTCTTTTTGTTTTTTGGTTTTGTTATTTTTAGTTTGAAACTGAACTATATAATTTCAATGTAGATACTTATATTTAATTAAATCAAACTTCATCGTAATATATTTAAGATATTACGATAATATTTGTATATTTAGTACCTCATTTAAGCATATTTGTTTCTCTTAAGATATGTGTATTAAATTTGGAAATTGCTATCTTATTAATAGTTGAATTTTTCCCCTTCCATATTTTATTCCTGAAAATTATTATCAAGTGGGTTCGACCTATATTTCAGCAAATATTGTAGTTGTAATATTTTTATTATCTGCCATGAGTTTTTTTTTTTCATAAATTGAAATATGAAATTGAAGACTTTGCTTTTCAACAAACTCTGTTATTTAATATTATTTTTTAGTTTATAATTTCCTCTTTACCTCTTATATCCCTTATGCCAGTGTGGTACCTTCATTTTTATACTTTATTTGTTTCAAGTCTGCTCTTATTGGATGGTCAAAATTTAAAACACCGGTAAGAAATTGGTGATTTACATTAGTAGAAGTTTTGTTTGTGTGTAGATTTTTGGTCTGTTATAGGTATCCTTATTTTGCATAAAACTTTTATAAACACGTATTGTAAGCTTTTAGTTTAATACCACAAAATTAGTATACCTTACACGATTCAACTTGGTCTTTGCCAAATCACATACTTGCAAAACTGTTGGCTTAGAAACTATCCTTTCCTACATAGTATTGAACCCAAGACCCTTTATAGGTTGCAGCGGTACAATTTGTTTATTTCCATTGTTATGATTTTATTACTTTGGCTTCTATTATTTTTGAAACAGTTGTTTTAATTATAAAAACAATTTTTTTTTTGTATTGGTCTGATATGCTTTTTTCATTTATTAACTATTTTATTTGAAATTTAATTAACGATTTTTATTTAATTATCTTTATAGGGGCTGAAAATGCATTTTATTATCGAGATAATAAATTCTCCCCTAGATTTTTCTTAACTTTATGAATGCACTTTATTTTCTTGGATTTCTCTTTGGTATTTATTATTATATTATATTTTAAGGCAGAAGTGTCGAAGCACGGTGGGATCATGGCTTCTCTTTACAGCAGCACCCAGCAGGATGAAGGTATGTCTTTAGAACTCAGTCTTGAAATCAACAGAAAATTGCAAGCCGTTCTTGAAGATACTTTATTGAAAAATATTATGCTGAAGGTAAGCTCTCAATATTATTTTTGCATTATAGTTTTTAAATATTTTTTCTAATTATTAACATATCAGTGATTGGGGTAGTTCAATGTGTTCAAGGTACAATATTCTTAATTCTCTTGGCCTGATTTAGAGTTCAGTTGTTCCAAATAATTCATTAATGCTGTTGTATCAACCGTCCGGTGTGCCAATCCCCACAAGGTCAGTGACACATGATCCTTCTCTTTCGCCTCCAAGAAAGGGTATTGCTCTCTTCTCCTTTAAAAACTTAGAAATAAAATTACTGTAGATCATATACTATTTCACTTGCTGAGGTTTGTTCTATATATTCCCTTTGTTTCCTGGTTTGAAACTTTTCAATCAGAAATTTCATAAACCCGTTGAAATGTATCCTCCCCTCAAAAATTCGAAATCCCGTTAAAATGTGCCCCTCTAAAAAATTGATCTGGCACGATCTGCACCATGAAACCCCCTTCCAGGCACCCCTGTTAGCCTTGATCTAAATCCTTTGATCAGAAAACTCTGCTGGGACACATCCACCCCTTATAAAGATACTTATGTTCATCCATATAAACTTACTCATGTTATTACTTATTATGCTTCCCATGAAAAGTGGCTGTTCCTGGATTTTTTTTTTTTTTTTGTTCTTCCCTACCTCGCCTTTTAGGCTATACGGGATTTTCCCGGGCCGGGGAGTGAGGGCGGGGAATTTAAAATCCCCTCCGGCACCGGGACGCGAACTCGTACTTTTTATATCATCTCAAATCTCTGTTATCCGGTTGCCAGGCAACTAGCGGTGCTGTACACACGCTTTAGCCTATTCGGCCACCCCGCCCCGCGGCTGTTCCTGGATATTGGCAACAGTGGTTCACACAAATAAAATTATGATTCTGATAGATTTTATTAATATTTACTTATTTGTTTAAAGCAGGCAGTTCCCACTCTAGAAGGCTTTAAATGGCTAATTCTATTTGTAATTTTTACTTTGAAAATAAAGAGTTATTTATTTCTAATTAATGATTTTATGGATTCAGTGAAAATAAATAACTTATAAATAAATTGTTGAACTAGCTATTGTAATACCCCAGTGGGGAGTTAGAGTACAACTTTAGTGTGCAGATGAGGCAGTAATAGAAGACAGTACCCCTTTCAATGTGCAACCATAAAATTTTAATGAATGATTACAGTTGATCATCAACAAATCGAAGTTAAAATCTTTGTTTCAATGTAGTGCAATATCTGTATACTTATTCAATATATACTTCAATATCATTATAGTTGTTTCAATATCTACTTTTCATTGGATCAATAAAGGTTCAACTTAGCATGACAAAATTTATCCTTTAAGTCAGTTGAATCTTGATATCTTCACTTCCACTTCAAACATACAACAGATTGACTTCCTCGAGGATATGGTGGCACAGTGTGTCAAGGCGTTACCTTAGCAACCGAGTGTCCGAGTTTGATATAAAGGGTATCCCTTCATTTTGGGTATGTCAAAACCCATTTCATGGCAGACCCATAGAATTTTGATTTCAGTATGATCTTGGATGTCTTGCAGTGGGCAGAGTTGGGCAAACATTAATTGTAACTAATAATTAAGATCTACAACTTACTTAGTTGTAATTCTGTTGAACAAAAATTAATTTTTATTTAATATTCATCGAGAGGCTATTAATTTTGGTAATTAAATTATTAACGATCGAAATGGGAATATCATTGTTTTTTTTAGCTATTAAAAATTAGTTGCAATAGCAATTAATTTTATTTGTGATCACCAAATAGCAATTAACAAGTAATTAAATTCGTTTTAAAACTTTTTTGTTTTATACTTATAAATACTACATCAACTAAAGATATAGTATATATAAACTCAAGTGCCCTTTGGATGGCAGCTATCCCTCTTCTGCAGATAATCGTAATCAATACTTATTGATATATATGATATATCAATACTTAGTTCATTTTGATGTTATTGATGATGCAGTTTTTGATGTAACACTATTGATTATATGTAAAGTCCGGATGGATCTTCATGCTGTAAAAATCTGAAAACCTTCAGCGAAAAACCCAAATTATTTAAAATTGTTTAATAAACACCTAAAAGCATGCAAACGTTATCTATTTTATTTACGTTCAATTTATTATGTTGATACATCGAAATCTGATCAAACATTGTTTCGAAGCTTCTGAATTAAAATTATGTGTAACAAGAAAAAAAGAATTTAATTGAAATGCAATATTGAAAATAAAACTATTAATAATTTTAGAAATTCACGCAGAAAGGCTGAGAAGCATGAGTGAGAATTGAAGTCAAAACAATAACAATAAATATCTTTCTAACATAATAGCTTATTATTCTAGGGAGGCAGTTTTTGTATTGTTATCCAATACTTTAGACATGTTTTATTCCAAAAATATTCTTGATTTGTGTTTACTTCTTCCTTTTGTAACATTAAATTTGAACCATTGCTAGTCTCAAAATTATTTATTTTCTTCATATTTATCTATTTTAAATTATCAATTTAATATGGACAAGGTAGTAAAATGAAATCTAAATATTTACTAGTCGCTACTAGCACAAAAATGTGCACTTTGATGCAACAAAAATTAAAATCATACAATTTCTGCCAAACACAGCAAAACTTGCAATTTTGTGCAAAATCAAATTTCCAGATGTTATTCTACAAATCGTGAAGCAGATAGATAATCAGGTTTGAAGTTTTTACACACGAGCAAATAAAAAGTGCAGTAACATGGAAATCCAATCTCTAATTATATGATTATGTGATCAACTGTGGGTTTATTTTATCTAGTCATATTTTTCCAATATACGGGCTCATTTTTATTTTATTTTATTTAAGTACACACAAATGCCTTCTGGGAAATAGGGAACTGTATGGCCTTTGCAATTGAAGACATTTCTCATTTCATATTTGCTTTTATTAAATTATTACTTATAAAAAATATTTCCTTATTCCTAAATTATTTTGAACTATTATTTATCTTTTTAGGAAAACTTGGATACACTTGGAGATGAAATTGTAAGGCTAAAAGAGAAAAAGTAATGTTTTAACTTTTTGTCTTCCAAAATATTTTATCGCTGTCATGATGGATACCCATATGATGGATCCAAGCTATTAAAACAACTTAGTGATTGATGTAAATAAATTTTTATTTGTTTATTGGTTATTATCTTACAATAGTGTTTTCTAATTTTGTTGTTGTTTAAAAAAAAATCCAATTCTTTTCTTCAATTTTCAATATGTATAAATTTGTAAATACACATTGTACCGGTATTTTATTTTTTACTTTCCATCATATTATTTAAACTTTTGATCTAATTGTAAATTACAGATTGTGTGATTTGCCTTATTAAATTGTTAAGCATATTTGAAGTTAATACAAAATCCCTGTGTAACCTTTTTTTTTTTGGTTAATTGTATTAGAAAATATGTTTTTTGATTACTAAGCGAAATCCTTTGTCAACTTTTTATAATTTTTATATCTTTTATTTTTTATTATTTATGGATTTACGTAGTTGGTCATAAAACATTCCATAGAATTAGAAAAAAAAGTTTTGTGATATTAAAATTAAGTCAAAAAGATACAAACACTGGATATCAAATTTTACCTTTGTTAAATAAAATTGAGTATAAATTTTGTATTAAAAAATATGTTGAATTCTGTTAATTTAAATATTTATTTTAGCTATTTTTTTTTCAATTTAACTAATTGTTTATTTTAAAAAAGTCTAGTTTTATACAATATTTTTTTCATAACTTTTGTTTGTATTTTTTTTACTTTAATATACTTAAGACAAATTTTGAGTATATTTTTGTAAATAATAAATTACTCAAATTATTAATTTTTGGGGTGTCCATCTTCCCTGAGTGCAGCGGTGCATGCTTCCCTCCACAGAAATTCTAATGCCTTCAGCACCTGTACAATAAAAAACGGACCCATATTTTTGTTCTTTGTTTATGTAGAACACACTATAGGTGTGTTAGTATCATAAAAAAAAAAAAAAAAAATACTATCCCTTACTGAAAACCCTCAAAAATATATTTCTCTCCAAAAATTCATAATCCTGAACACTGTACTCCCAGAAAATTTTAATGCCATGCCCCCTCTTCTGGGCACCCCTGATTAAGTGCTTAATTGTTTAAGTAACATATGTTCAAAGATTTACTTATAGATATTGAAAGTGTTTTTTGGCATATCATTGATGAAGACTGTAATTTTTTATTTATTATTATTTAAGTTTTTTTTATTAATTGAAAGTTTTATACAAATTTGAACAACCTACAATTTTTATCAAATATTTCCTTCTTTCCTTCTCATTATTTAAATAGAGTCATATTGATGATCAAGTCCAAAATAAAAGTTTAAGATAATTGATTTACTAATTTAAATTATGAATAATTACCTTTTGATGATAGATTAACCATGAATAATAGCTTTTGTCTTCCCCCTTAATTTAATAGTTATTAATAAAAAATATGAAAAATAAATACTATATCTGTGAAAATGTGACTTGATTTTTAATTTAGAAAAATCTGGGAACTATATGACTCAAAGTTACACCAATTATTGAGCTAATTAAGTTTTCATTTTAGATACTTTTCACTAATACTACTTTGCCAAAAACCTATTTGTATGTATTTTGTTTTGAAGTGCAGCCATTCTTAAGTAATATTTTAACAAAAAATCCATAAAGTATTTTTTAATTAATTATTTTCATCATTTAGTGAAATTGTTATAACCATTTTTTATATGTATGATGATAATGTAAGAATGAGTAAAATGGTATTTCAATTGTAATATTGTCTGTATCATTTATTTATTTCTATTTAATTTTAAAAATAGAAAAGTTAATAATTCTGTTAATATTTTACTAGTTTTGCTACCAAATTTATTTTAAAAATGTAGGAATAAATTATTTGAGTTATCAATTGTAGGTTAGGTTATTTTTCTACAAAATTGTTTAAGGCTAAATTATATTGAATGAGTTTACAAGCCACTAGCTGATGAATTTACTAATTAATTGCAAACTCACTCATTGTAATCATATTCATTCACTAACTTGAACTACTATAAAAGTTGAAAGGTGGACCTTTTTACTTGCTACTCGGTGGTATGCTTGTTAGCTAATAACAATCTGTGTGCCATCATAATTACTATGAACCAGCTAAGATTATCTCTGTGATTCTTAGTTTCTGTTTCAAACATAATCTCCGCCAGCTTTCTGTTTTATATCTTCTGATTTGTTTATTTCTAAACTTGCCGGCCAGTAGCTTGTAAAATTTCTTAATGTAATCGAGTCTTTATGAGCAGAGACTGGATTTTTATTTAATACATGTAGAATAACCATAATATGCAGCTATTACCTGTAATCAGTTATTAACTGTTACAGTAAAATAGTTATCTTAGTAAAGTGAAAAATAATTCCATTCTATATTTATAGTAATATAATAATATTTTTATTTTTTTATGTACACAAAATTGATTTTGTATATTTAAAAAAAAAATCCATTTAAAATAAAATAATTTATTTCTAACAAAAATAATTTCTCTGACTATAAAAAAAATTAAATATCTTTACAGTTTTGATATTGAATAGATTCAATGTATATAAAACATTTTAATATTTAATTTAAAATATATCTATATGTGTTTGACTTAAAGATGAATCAAGTTGTTTGTCGTTAGGATATTGATTTAAATATCTCTGGGACTACTTAGAATGTTTCCGGTTTAATTCTTCTTTGGTACTCTCCAATCATTCACTCTTAAGGTGAATTTAGACCAAGTGTGCATAATGATTGCTAACATTTGGTAACAGGTACATTTGGCTGGTGTAAATACAAGCTTGGAAGCATTTGTTTGGGTTGATATATGTTCCTAATAGTATTGATACAACAACAAAAATTTATAGTTTGTTCGCAATCAAAATTCAATGTTAGCAATCATCGCTTATCCTGGTTTGTTCAATATCTAAATTTCTCAATTGCTTATTTATTATATGTGTTATTATTAAGTATTTTATTTTATGATTTTTAAAAACCTCAAATTTATTTATTAGACTGTAGGAATAACTAACTCATGGAGTGGAAAAACAAGAGATGTTTTTATGGCATTAATTAAATTTAAATTTTTGTTAATGTAAGACTCCCACAAGAATCTCCTAAAGCCAAAAAAACAAATGGCCATTGCCAATCTTCTTTTCAATGGAATTGAGTTTCAATAATGTTTGTCTGGTTTACAGTCTTTGACTGATTAGAGGAGTTAATATCTTTGGTTTATATGTGGCAAAATTATTTGAATAAAGTGTTAATATCACTCGTTTTTAGGTCATTTAGAAATAAGTTGCAAAACATTTATTGTTTTTAAAAAAATGAATTATCGAAGCTCATGTTATCTATTTCTTTTTAATATTTCCTTTTTTATTAAAGCAGTCATAATTAAAAATTATAACTATTCTTCTGGATTTCATTTTACCTGAAACAATAACAAGAGTTTACAGATCTGCTGCTATTTACAAATATTTGATCAGTGATGACAATAGAACACATCCTTAGTCACAAATACTTCAGAAGTAGAATTTTTTTGCTTCATTAAATATAAATATTTTATTATAAATAAGTTTTTATTATAATATTCAAATAACATTTATTTGCCCATAAACATTTAAAATATGCTTATTATGTAATTTCATAAAAATTGGTCTTTGCTTTATAGTTGTTTGGAACTAATTTATGTTATTCTTTCATTCAAGTACCAAATGTTACAATGATTAGTTTATAATTGTACCTGAATATTTATTTTTGTTTTATTCTATGGATTTGTTATAGAAACACATTGTACTTATGTGTGTACTTATTATGAACTCCGCTTGTTATTAAATTAGTGCAATAGATTTGTATTTTATTAATATTTATAAGTATTTTGATTCAAAAAATATAATTATTTATTTATTCAGTGGGGTCTAAATGAGATATTTTGCTTGCATGGTTAACTTTCCTATTGGAATGCAATTAGTTTCAGTAGAATGTTTTATCTCCTAGCTAAAATATGTATCTATGTATGATATAAATCGATCAGTATTTTTGTATTAATGATTTAAGTAGTTATTGTTAACAAAAAAATGATAAACACGATATTGTACAGTTTGTGGCATTATATAGTATAAAGGTGAGTTATTGATATGTTTTAATTTTAATATGTCTTTAATTCAAGCATAATGTGGTTTAAGTCTATTAAATAAGAGATCTAATGTGTTTGCTTGAATACAGAAACGGATTTGAATGTGCTTTGTTTGAAGTATAATTTCAAAAATAAGACAAACTAAAGATTTAAAAGAATATTTTATAAATAAATTATTCAATTTCCCCAAATTGTAATTTTTTATAAAACTATCTCGATTTTGGTGAAGACTGCATGAAAAAGTAATAATGAAAAAAAAACCTATGTCCGTGTGTAACAATTTAGATGTTTTGTCTGGCGGCTATTTTAATTTGCCTATTTTTTTATTATCAACCCTACATAGGCATTTGGTCTATTACATAATTGTACAATGCTCCTGTGATATGTTACCACCGAGCATAATAACTTTGCTTTATTTATTTTCTTTTTCTTTGGTTTTATTTAAGTCTCATTTGGTTTCCAATATTAACCATAAAACAGGTTATGTTATACAAATTTTCTATTGTAGTTATCTTGAATTTATATTCAAAGTTTAATAAAATGTTATGTTAATGAATATAGTTATAGCTCTCTTTTCTTTTTATTTATTTTTTTAAATCATGGTGTCATATATAGATTATTTATTATTCAATATTTTTCTTCAATACATTTTAATCCTGAAGCAACTTTGTTTTCAAAGAATATTATAAAATTATAAGTATTCATTTATGTTTGTATCTAAAAAAAAAATATTTAAAGAACTTTAATAATTGCCAACAGTATGATTAAAATTGTTCTATCCAAAATTTAATCAATTATATTTGATGTTATTGTAAATGTTTTATAATTTAATTGTATGATCAAAATATTTATTTTGCTTCCTATACCAAGTTATAAAACCTAAGTCTGTTTGATCTTTATGAAAATATTGTTTATATTGGTTATTCAACCACCTTATTGGTATATTGTGCAGATATATTGATGTTTTATAAAGATCTGT